GATGAAGGGATTGTAGATGTGACTTGTAGAATCAAAAAAAAAAAAAAATTGTCCAATCCCAAGTTCTAGATATAGATGAAGGGATTGTAGATGTGACTTGTAGAATCAAAAAAAAAAAAAAATTGTCCAATCCCAAGTTCTAGATATAGATGAAGGGATTGTAGATGTGACTTGTAGAATCCAAAAGGATAAATGGTCCAATCCGAAGGTCATTAACCATGATCATCTTTAGAGGTAAGTTAGAAAGAGCACAGTCAATTGGTTTATTTCAAAGAAAATTACACCAAAGATAAATAAACCTACTGAAGAGGTTCCTGTTAAGACCACTTCCAGATTAACATCAGAGATGAAGCCACCAGCGGATTGGTTCGAATGTCTACCTGAAAAGAGCTCCCCCAATGACAAGACAGAAACTTATGACAAAGAGTACGAAATCATCCTTTCTTTATACCACAAGTCAGAGAAAAAACAAAAACATCAAAACGATTTCGTATCTAAATAGTTTAGGAACAGGAGATTAATAAAAAATAATATTTTGTTTTGTTAACAAAAAGTTTTATTAAAGTTTATTTCTCTAATTGTTAATTATAGAAATTTGATTTTAATGTGGCATTTTTTTGTTTTATGGTATAGTCGGGGAGCACATTGGTCAGTGAGGACACCTTGTACTATCATTGGTTGCCTTGTGTTTTATTAAATTTCAGACCTACCTAAGTAAGAATCCAGAGGGCAACCTTCTGAAATCAGTGTTCCTTACTCTGAAAATTGCATTTACATTTGTGCCTGTGTAGTCTCCAAAGCTGTTTTGCCAGTATTTGTGTCAAAAATGGTGCTGCATTTAGAAATTTGGTACCAAAATGTGCAGAATGACAAGACCAATGCAGATAAATAATACTCGTATCAATATATTACTTTTTTGCTGGTGAAAAAGGAAAAGAAAATTAAATCATGGGACAAAATCTGCTTCAGTTTAGCCAGCATTGAGCTTGGAACGTCTGTATAACTTTACAAATGACAAAATCTGCTACAGTTTAGCCAATGTTGAGTTTAAAACAT